TATACTTTGTGGATAATTTAAAAAATATCATAAAATCCTTTGATTACTTCATTAATCCATAATGACTCATTTTGAAGCAAAGTGAAGTTTCTACATTAAACATTGTATTTAAATATTCACTAGCAACTACATAGGAACTGCATTTGGAATATATGTTCAACAATATTCACATAAAAAACTTACCTGTTGCTGCAGCCAGAATGTTACATTTTTCTAAGTGAAGCAAATATGTAAGGAGAACTAGCATTATTGACACAGTATCTGTGTAATACAGGAATGTGAAGAAGTAGAGAACTGGAAACGATGCCATATTGACCACAGATAGGAGATCTAAACACAATGTAGGAACATCCTAGAAAACAAAATTTAATAATAAAGAAAGGCACTATTATTTTTGTAAAAACTAAAAGGCCAGATATTTCAATTACAAGATGTTGAAAAACTAACTGGATAAATTTTAAAAACTTCTGTAAGTCATGTTATGGTAAACCCTTATAAGTTGGGCACACAATTAGAAACAAGGCTGTAAGTTATGAAATTAATTTCAATCTTTAGATTATACAACATAGATATACTCTACTCTGCTGAAACCTCAATGTCATCAAATTTTAATTGTTTCATTTATGTTATAAGATATGAAAGCCTCCATTTCAAATACCAAGGTGTTTTTCTTACATTTTCAGGAGGAAGGAAAACCTTTACTGTTTACAGCGTACTTTAATTTCAAGTTTTTAAAATGCAACCGTTAGGTTATTCTAAAGAAAATGGTTTGTAATTATTTTCATTCCATATTGGGTAATCATCACTTTCAGAAAATAGTATTTAGAGCTTTTGCATAAAAATCATTATCATTACTATGGTCAACAAATGTAAAGTTTCTTCTCACTGCTGTTGCAGCTGACACTAAGCACTGTAGCTACAGTTCTTTAACTTGAAACATATTTTGTTTCTTTTCAAAACAAGAGAATAATTGTGAAGTGCAGTGTATGCATTCCTATGATCACTAAATTTATAGTAATACTTAGAGAACCACAAAGCATTCACTCACGTTAGCATTTAAATATATTTTTTGAGAATTTTTCTTTGTGCACTTGGTCCTTTGCATTTCTTCGCATTTCCATTCTTATTTAGAATTTCATAGCAATCCACTGGACTTTCCACTTTGTGCATCTTTCTGTACTCCTTTTCCAAATTTCAAAACATTCAATGTGTGGGCCAGTATGAATGTTCTCTAATAACTATTACTTGATCACCTTGACAATCACAAGCTCTTCAGAGTACACGAAACCATATTGTTGGCACAAGACCCTCACAGAATGACTAATTTTGGGAAATATACAACACTGGATTCCAACGGAGATTGCTCCGTATAGCTGACAAACAGGGCTCGGATTCTGACGAGCAGTCATCTTTTCATTGATGTGTTCTGGTCATAGCTACCTTGTAAATAAATGTTTATCATGACGTATAGGTGATAGAAATGTATAATTATGTCATTTTTTGTCATTCTTCAATTTTTAGATCATTTTTTGGACCTTTGCAACATTTTTATGCATTTTGTTTCCTTTTTATGGTTTTTCTTATTGAATGTCTCATGAAGGACACACTAAAACACAGTTATAATTGTATCATCAGTTCATAATGAAATTCACTACAGCAATGGGCTCTTTTTCAAACTCTCAAAATTACATGGATCATTGGTAACTTCCCTAATGTTTCAAAACTGATGTTAGAGAGATTGGAGCTGAGGATGACATTTCCTCCTAAAAAATACTTTATATTAAATAAAATTTTATAATTAACTGAATACGTAAACATTTTCATACACATTTTGGAGTTGTTTTTTTTTTTTAATTAGGTCATTGTCCCTTATTTTTAAGTAATTTTATAGGTCATTTTGAAAGAATTTTTAGGTCATCAAAATACAAGCCCTGCTGATAAGGAATTAAATAAAATCCCAGAGAGTGAATGTGACAAGCGGAATTTGGAATTAATGTTTGTTTGTTTTACTCAAGTAGAATTTGGAAAACAAAATGTTATAGTTCTTATTTAATGAAAACATGACTAGGAAGAATTTTTCATGTTACAATAAGACACTTTATAAAACTCAATGTTACAATTAGTTCTGGTAAACAATCTATTAAAATGCAAATCACAAGTGGTTTCTGGAATGGAATCTTCACATATGCTCCAAATATGGATGAATATGTGTTATGTCCAGCGTGACATTAACATTAAAGAGATATTTAAATCCCCCTAATGTTACTGTCATTCTGGACACGCTTTTGAACTAGCTGATGTACAAATTTATTTATCCATTTAGTTTAATGTTTTAATAATCTTTTGTGGTTCAAAATGCCTGAAAATGAGGAAAAATTCATGTCCTCGAAACATCGCTCAGCAAACTATGGTTAATGAAAAATAAAACTTCAGTTTATAACAATGTGATTCAGGGTTTTTAATTCAAAAATTTTTCATGAACTAGAGTCTATCAAATGAACACTGTAGTCAAACTCCACTAATATGAATAAAGTTCAAATTAATTTTTGCCACTTGAAATGTTGCAAAGAACATTTCCTGTTCACTTTAACCCATATGAATGTGAAAATATTTATGTTTTCTCCTAAAATTTTGCTATAATAGAACACACTTGGTTCTGTTAACATCTTGATTAATGCCAAGTGCAATAAAAGATTTGCTTATTTCATAACACATTTTGTTTTCTCTTTGATGGTTATCATTTTGTAGAGCTGTATTAACCCGCTGGCTTGTGTGTTTTACCTCTGAAATGCATAAAATGTACTTTCATTGACAACACATGAAGTTTTCTTAGAGCAGCGAGTTTGTGATAACACACTACAAATTTAATTTTCATACATTAATCAAATTTCAATTGTCCTCTTCATAATATGCATTCAAACCACAACTTAAACTGTATTTACACTGGGGCAATTGCAAGAAGTAGCAAAATGCAAAATTTCTTTGATCTAGCATTAACTGTTCTAATTTCAATATAGAAAATATCCCATCTGTTTTGGAAAGACAAAAGAAAAAGAAAAAACTATTTTAACTACTATGTAAAATAATTAATGCTGCATCAAAAAGTGCCAATTTTTCAACAGGAAAACTAGTTTTGTGGATCTCTGATATGAAAAAAGGATATTTTTCTTACTCCTTCCCATAAGTAGTAAATGTGAAGTCAGAATCCATGTATTGTGACTCCTTGATATCGAAAATTGTTTTTTGGCAAAAGGCTTGCCTGTCTGTCTGTCTGTCTGTGAACATTAGCACCTTTACCATACATGTGATTTTCATCAAATTTGATATTCATAGATCAATCTTGTTGATGTAGTGGCCCCCTTAAACTAAAAAGGTATATTTTAATTTTTGTTGGTATAAAGTGCCAAAATTTTTAAAATTTTCTTGAAAACGGCTCCATATATTTTCTTTAAATTTTTAAGGTAGTATCTTTTATCTACAACTTTGGTTAGGTTCAGCATCATGAACTTTTAATGCATTCTTAGGCAAACTTTGATTTAATGTTATTAAAAAGTTATTTCAGGTATAGTTAGTGTGTGACCATTGTCAATTTATGTCATAGCTTCATAAATGAGAATTTAGAATCAATTTTCTTCAAAATGTGTTAAGAGGAAATACCGTTTTTACCCAAATAAAAGTTTACTTTAAATATAAGATATGTATGTTATAATATATGTACAATACATGTATGTTCCTTTACAAAGCATTGCCAGATGACATTAAACAATTGAAGTTGGTTCACAAATTTAACTTAAAAGTAAAATCTTTTCTGATGCATAACTGTTTCTATACAATTAGAGACTACACTGATTAACAAAAAGAAAAATAATGTTAATTTTAACAAAACAGTGATATATATTGAATTATCTTACATGTGTATTATATAACTTTTTTTTTAAAAAACACTTAAAATATTTGGAACAAATAATGTACTTCAGCTTCCGGATCAATGATCCTCATCTCGATCAGGTTTTTGTCCAGTTTCCCTGATCCATTGAGCAAATGCTGAGATTTGCTCAATGCAACGTTTAGTTGAACTCTCCTTTTGCTTGTAACGGTAGGAGTAGAGGTAAAGTACTTTACCCTAACTAAGTAGAGTTAGTTTTTTGTTAGCAATGCAGAAAAATCATACCTGCATTTTGTTTACCAATGCAAATAAGTTTTCTATAACTAGAGAATGAAAATGTCTAGTTTTTTCAAATATTGAAAATCTCATGCTTTTTAAAAATTTATTTTTATTTATTTATTTATTTTAAACTTTTACTCATCTTTGAACTATTTATAGTTCAAATGATAGGGAGGGTTTCTGGAACTCAGGAAAACGTGTACAGACGATTATTTCCCCCCATACGTCACATACAGTTTATGAATATAAATCATGTCTAATCAAGATGATTCCTAATTCAGATGAGGTCTGGGAATTTTGAAAAATTTTAATTAATTCTTACTGTTTAGACAAAATAAAATTGCAAATTGTCTTGATTGATTGATTAGTGATTCTGAGCACATCAATGGCCAAGTTCATTGGTCCCGTAAGGGTAAAGAGAGACTTATCGCGGGGGGGGGGGGATCTTCCCCTGTTGGAATGAGATTCGTCGCCGACCTACCCGTCATATTGCGGTTTCCCCAACCAGGTATCTTCCACCAGCAGGGCACCGCCCCAGCCGGGACAAGCTCTAAACTTGGGCTGGTCTAAGACTGGTCCCCGACATATGTAATAGTGTAATGCTTGTAAGCGAATGTGTTGTGTATAAAGAATTGAGGATAGGACAAGGAAGAGTAAGGAAAGATCGCGCGCCGCCCGGGTCCCGATATTTTAAGGTAGGTACTGCTTCGACATTAGCCTGGTGTCACATCGGGAAAAACACGCAAAACTGCCAGTTGGAACAGCCGGCCGCTACAATTCTCCTCCAGACAGCGACTGAATTCGACCTAGACAGTCAGAGGCACTGTAGAGACGTGCATTGATGTCCTGGGTCTGATTGACTAAAAAATTGTCTAGTAGTTGTTATAACTTACGCCTGAGCCACACAGTTATACAACTTTCTGGTTCCTTAAAATCATCATTGTTTTTTGTCACTACCCTCTTCCATCTTCCCATGTATTATAGTTTCTTTTTGGTCCTCCTCCCTTCTTGCTAGGTCCTCTGACATTCTAGGCCCCTCTTAAAGTTTTACGAGTTGATTTACGTTCTTACCATCTGAGTCACAAATTTTCCTGTTCTGTCTATTGGTGGCATCGGGATCTTTTACATTCCCCCATTCTTTAACAGAATAAACTCCATCTCTTGCAAAACGCAGATTCGCACTTGGC